CTGGAGAGTGGGATTCCAAAACTTTGTGCTGCTTGCATTTCTGTGCTGTGCATTATTCCATAAAGCCAGTGGAATTGAAACCAGACAGTGGGTGGGTCTGGGTCGTCGGTCACTACTTGAGCCAGTTAAGCAGAGACAAGGTTGAACTGTATTTGAGCATTTATTCGTGTTGCCGGCGGCGTGGGGCAGCGGGTCATCGGTAAAATCTGCTCTGCCCCTCACTTGCCAGCTGCTCTTGAAGGCAGAGAAAGGACCACAGGACGGGGGAGGAATGTGGCCCGGGGTCTGCAGGGGCTGGGGTTGTTAATCTTCCTGTGAGGTCAGGTACCCTTGTCCGCAGATTAGGCGAAGGGACAGCATCCCGAGGTCAGCTCCCGAGGTCACCTCCCAGCAGGTCAGAGCGGGCTTCCCCGTAGTCCGAACCCAGCAACCCCGGTTACCAGTGTAACGGACGATCAACATATTCAGCTATGGCTAGTGCCCTACTAGGACTAGTTTTCTTACTCTTCTAATATTTTATATTCTCATATTCTTTTCTGCCCCTTTCAGAGTTATTATGAAAAATGAGGTAAAACAGAAATTGCTGTAGGAGAAAGAATATGGAATATTAACAGATCCCTAGACGGAGAAGGTCTCTCCAGCATTAGCTCCCAGTGAAGAAATGGCAAGGTTAACATTTGATAGATTTCATTCGAGACTGTTACAGACCACCTCTATGCCAAAAATAATATTCATAACCTTGAAATTCAAAATCTGGAAAATATTTGTCAATTATTTGGTGAAAGAAGAATGTCCTTTATATCTTAAAATCGGGAGGACAGGCGCCCACACGGGGAAAGCGGTGGTCAGGACGCTCAGAGCGCGGGCCCAGCTCGCAGTGAGGTCGCCGGTCAGAAGGCTGTGAACGTGTCAGCATTTCTTGTAAATTGAACACGTTCTATTTTTTGCATATCATATTGACTATTTTTAGATACTATAAGATTAATAATTGTTGAAGCTCCTGGTAAAATGCATTTATACTCTGATGGTGGAACTTTGCACATATTTCTTTAGGTTTTTTTTTATCCTCACCTGAGGACATTTTTATACTTATCTTCAGATAGAGCCGGAGGGAAAGAGGGAGGAAGAGAGAGAGAGAGAGAAACATCGATGTGAGAGAGTCACATTGACTGGCTGCCACCCACACAACCCCCACTGGGGCCATGGACAAACTGCAACCAAGGTACATGCCCTTAGCAGGAACTGAACCTGGGACTCTGGTCCGCGGGCCGACACTATAACCGCTGAGCCAAACTGGCCAGGGCTGAATGCACATACTTCAAGAGATTTTAAACTGCAAAGTCTCATACAATAAAATTAAATATAATGGCTTTTATTACATCATTTCAGTTACAAGAATTTATCCTAAGGAAATAATCATGGATATGCCCAAAGAAAGAGATAAAGGCACAAAGTTTTGAGTAGAGGAAAACTGTAAATCACATAAATGGCCAACAGGAGTGAATAGATTATTATGCTACTTTCTTATTATCACTTATATTTAATGACAATAAAACTTTAAGACACAATATACTGATTTATAGGAAACAAGGTACACATTATCTTACACAGAATTAATTTTATTGTATTTGTATCATGTGTTTCATCTTCACAGTAATCTGGAATAACAAAAACATTTAAAATTATTATTTCTGAGTTATAAAATTATGTTTCTTTTTTTACTTTTTTCTGTTCCAACATATTCTTATAATTTATTTAAGAAGTGTTTATTTGACCATCTAAAAAAAGAGTTTAGTTTGTTTTGTGAAGAAGAAAACGGAGTGTGTTTCCAGTGGCATGGTTAGTAAGCCGCGGTCCTAAACTTGATGCATGCCAGAGGGCGATTCGTTCCAAAACTGCATCATGTTTTCCCTAGACATAATGTAAATTGAATTAATTTATTCCACACCCCCAATGATTCCGTTCCACCTTTCTTATCTGCAGTACATGTCTGATGTGCTGTTGATCTGTAAACAGACACTTCTGTCCTTGGTCTGTGGACGCAGCCCCGCCGGCCCTGCAGTCGCTGCAGCAGCCTCCCAGGTCCTGCAGGTCAGCGTGCGGCACCCTCGCTTTCTCAGGTCACTGACCCTGCGATGCTGCCCCCGCCACCTGCTTCTCCTTCACCCACATCGGGAACAGTTTTCTGCCTTTGCAGTCGCCTGTGATCACTGTTTCTTTCACACCTTAGCAACATCAGCACCCTTGATGGCCTCTTCATGTTCTAAAATTGTGCTAATGATCCATTTTTCCAGCAACAAAAGCAGAGAACAAACAAACAAAAAGCACCCAAAACACAAACAAAACCCCAAATATTCACAGCAGTTTCCTGAGATGCTAACAGTGTGAGGTCTAGCAGTGAGCTGACTCGCGTTCTTTTCTCTGTCTGTGGCCTGAGGGATGCTTCTTGTCCTGCTGCTGATGTATCAGCATGAAAGGGTTGTCAGGTCCAGAATGACCAAGACAATTCTTTTCACTGAACAAGTTGGTTGGGAACCAAACTGTTCGAGATGGGAGACATTCAGGAACTAAGGTTTGACTAAAATAGTATAATTTGTATGAGAATAACGTTACTGTTTTTGTTTGTTTGTTTTTCTTTAAAGGATTACACTCTTAATCTAAGTGGGCAGAAATCCTATAAAATTCAGAAGATAAAGCAAATAGTCCCTAAAACCCGAAGTCTGTTTAGATCTTCATGCTAAGCCGGCTCAGTCTGTAGTCTGTCCAGTGTGCACCCTTGGGTCCTCTGAGCCGAGTGCCCGAGCTGGGCGTCACAGAGGGCCCACCCCCGCTCTTCCTGAGAGAGGGACGGCATTTTCAACTTCTCCACCCCTGGGCAGAAACATTTCCTGGTAAACATTGTTCCAGAACAACCTCCAGGAGGAAGCCGACCCTCTCTGGTGCATGCATGGCATTCTTCCCGTCCCCAGGCCAGGCTGAGCCGCTCTGGACACTGCCCTGTGGGACAGCACCAGGGCCCAGGGCTGTTCAGTGGAGGACACGCCCGCGGCCAGGCTGATCTAGATAACGCTGATCGTCTGTGTCTGAGCGGGACTGCAGCAGAGCGCAGGAGGAGCAAATGAATCTTCCAGCCCTTTCGGCGTGGGCGTGGCAGGCGTTGTGAAAGACTGAAGACTCCCCTCTATAATCCCACAAGATCCGTTAGTCCTGGTTTTTTAATTTTCTTTTAATGACCACTTGACCTTTTTCAGTTTTATTTAAGCGTTTTACAAATTCAGCCACAGGACAAAGGCCCAAGCTCCTGAGGGTCTGGGAGTTTGCTGCTTCCCTTCCGGCCTGAGGAGGACACCCTGGGGTGTGGGGCACAGCTGTCTGTCCTGAGCACTGCGGAGCTGCGAGGGGACGGGGAGGGCTGTCCAGGTGCTTGGTATCTGGAACAGCGCTATCTTTTCAGATTTCTGTATTAATTAAGGTAGCAGTAGCTGCTGTGACACACAAACAGTGTAATTTTGGTCACTTATAAAACTAGTAATTTCTTTCTTATTCACAAGCAATCCAAGAGGGTGTTCTTGCGTAGGCGGCTTTTCCCACACTGCCCGTGGCCCAGGCCGCTGCTTCCGACTGTGCATCTCCCTTGGCTGTGGCTCCTGGTCTGCGCTGGGGAGGAGCCTGGCAGGCAGCTGGAGGGCTTCCCTCGGGGCCAGGTCAAGGCCCACCCGGCCTCCCTGGGCTGTGGCTCCTGCTCTGCACTGGGGAGGAGCCTGGCAGGCAGCTGGAGGGCTTCCCTCGGGGCCAGGTCACGGGCCCACCCGGCCTCCCTGGGCTGTGGCTCCTGGTCTGCGCTGGGGAGGAGCCTGGCAGGCAGCTGGAGGGCTTTCCTCGGGGCCAGGTCAGGGGCCCACCCGGCCTCCCACACTGAGCTCCTGGCAGGAAGACAGGAGCCAGGCAGGGTGGCTCCCGGTAGTTCATGTCCCAGTTGCCAAGTCAACTCGGGAACCGTAGACAGTCAAGGTAAGGGGTGAAATGTGTTGGGCAGGGAGCCCGGAAGACCCAGACCTTGGATTCTAAGGGTGCCGGGAAGGAGAGGCTTGTGGTGATCCCCTGAGCGAGAGCGAAGTGCTCCTGCCAGGAGGCCGCAGCAGAGCCATCTGCCTCGCTGCGGATTTGCTGTAGGGCATTTCCTGAGCCCCAGTAAGTAACTGTATAGAACATTATTAAAATTAATTAATTTACTTACTTATTTGATTTTTAATCCAGTGGCAGGCCCTGGCCAATTTGCTGGGTGGTTAGAGCGTCGGCCCGTGGACCAGAGAGACCCGGGTTTGGTTCCTGCTAAGGGCACGTACCTCGGTTGCAGTTTGTCCCTGGCCCCGGTTGGGGTCATGTGGGTGGCGACCACTCGATGTGCTCTCCCACATCGATGTTTTTCTCTCTCCCTCTCTTTCTCCTGCTCTATCTGAAGATAAATACAAAGAAATTTCCTTGGGTGAGGATAAAAAGAAAAAACCCAGTGGCAGACTACGGATACAAGCAATAAGGAATCTCCTGTTTTTTTTTTTGCTTTGTAATCCCAACTTTAAGATAGAGTACTAACTTTTAACTATAATCTTCAATTCTTGACATTAAAGTTTGTCACAGACTATCTGAATTCTGTTAGGGAAAACCAAAAATCTTAACCTAATAAAAATAACTCCTAAATAGTTATTAGAAATTTGAAAATAATAGCTGGCAACATTTATATAATGTTTTATAATTTGCATACTTCACGTTTTAATTTGCACTGATATTTTATTTGAGAAGGGTTTAAATAGTATTCTTGGAATTTTAGGAGATATCTGTGCTATAAACTCATTTCTTTTTGTAGGTGGAAGTTAGTAAAAATAATTTCTTACATGATTCTGTGTCTGCTTATAGATTGTACTTTTTTTTTATCTCAAAGTCATGAGTGTAGAAAATTCAATGTATTTCATAGTATTTTGTTTTTGTACGTTTTTCTCCAGGAGAAAAGTCGAAATTATGCACACCCACAGTCTCTTCACCCTTCTTGGAGAAAGGCTGATGCTGCACACGAACACCGTGACTGTCACCACATACAACACGCTTTATGAGGTAAAGTTTTCCAGAATGTTTGATGACAACCATAACTGTGTGCAGTGGACACTCTCATGGAATTAGGATCAGTGTTGGTCAGTCAATCTAGAAAGTCAGTAATCGTTTGAAAAAGTAAACAGTTACTGGTTTACATTTTGTTTAGAAACATATCCATGTGCATTATTTGCCAATTTTTACCTCTGTCCTAGGACTTTCCTTTGGGTCGGGTTGGGTGATAGCTTTGCACTGAGTTTTCCGTACAGAGACCACATACCCACTATGTGGTGTGTGTGAGTCCTGCCGCCCTCTCTGATAGCCAGTGACCGCCAGCGCTGACATGGGTCGATGCTGTGATGAACTGCAGGCGAGGACTGCTTGTGACCACGGTGTCTGGAAGAAACTGTGTATCTCAACATTTCAAGTCAGAAACCCATTTTTCATCGTTTCTAACAAATGCCCATATATCTTTGGTTCGGTATTTTCTATGACATGCATGTGCTCCATCCCAAAGTAAATGGCTTTTTGAAGCTCTGCGAGAATGTTGGAATGCTGTGTGACATAGCCCTGATTCTGCTCCCTGCCGCTGGTCCTCGGGGTCGCCGGTCCTCTCGTCCAGTGCAGAGACAGCAGACCGCCAGCGCCTGTCTGAGTGGCCGCACGCTCGGGAGCTTGTCTATGTAGTTTTCAGTAGTTGAAAATAACTGAAAGAAAAATAACAAATATAGGAATTATTTGAAATTCAGAACTCAGTCTCGGTCCGGGAGTAGTTTTGCTGGGACACAGCCATGTTCATTTCTCCGTAGATCGCTCATGGGCAGTTTTGCGCCACAGATCACGGTGACGCTGTAACTCGACAGTGTTCCACTTAGCGTGCTGCGGACCCTGACAGTGAGAAATAATGACAGTGCCCACTCCTCGGGGGAAGCCAGGGCGGCGCACCTCAGGCTCACCCTCCAGAGACAGGACTGGAGCTTTCATACAGACTTAGACGGCGGGCATTGTGTCTGTGTCGCAGGTCGCTGTCATTCTGCCCACACGGCGTACTTTGGCGTGACTAGATTAAAGACTCATCATACTCCTAACTCAGAAAAACAGTGGTCAGAAAGTACAAAACATATCTCATCACAAAAATGAAAAAGTGAAATGAGAGGCATTGAGGAGGGCAGATGCTGAGACTCAATGGAATTGTACTGCAATTTTACATCCATGTGGGACAGACTCAACTTCTAATACTATTTCTCTTTTTTCATCTAAGCCACAGGCTGATATAACGCAGTTCTAGTTTCTGCAGGGCCCACAGGTAGGGGATAGCTTTTATGTCTTTAAGTGATGAGGGAAAAGTATTTTTGATGTGAAATCAAATTTTAGTGTCCATAAATGAAGGGTTTTGTGAACATACCCATGCTTATTCATTTAAATACAGCTGTGAGTGACTTCATACCATAATGGCAGAATTGAGTAGTAGTGAGAGGAATCATAGGACCCACAAATTCTTAAATATTTACTATCTTACCTTTCTGGAAGAGCTTTGCTTCAAAGTTAAAATTCTGAAGGGAAATGTATCTGCTTTCATTTTTTTTAAAAGTTACATTTTAGTCTGATACCAGAATTATATGCATTCATTATAGAAATTTGGAAAATCCAGAAAATCAAAATAAAATGTATCCATAGTGTCTTCATTCCTACTTAGGTAAAAAGCACGCACATATTTTTTCTGCTCACACGCACAGACACACCTCTTAGGAACTATCGTCCTGCACGGAGTTTTCTGTCTTGATTTTTCCACTTAACAAGAGACCACAAATGTTTTCATTACGAAATGTTCATCTGAGTTGGGGAGGGCAAACTTTTCTGATAGAGGGACTGGTAAGAAAATAAATCTTTTAGGCTTTGTGGTTGTAGTAGTGCGTTTGGGCTGCTCTCAAGGGGACGCTGTAGATTGCGCAGCTGACGCGCTGCGGTTAGGGGCCCAGACAGGCGGTCTCTCTGGGTCCTCACCTGCACGCAGGGCGCACAGCTCTCTGGGCTCTGCCAGAGGAGCCCCGACCCCGACCCTGACCCTGACCCCTTCACATGACAGTGCCTGATCCTGATCACCTCCCAAGGCCCGCCTCCTGAGACGCTTACCCTGGGGTTAGGTTCTAGCTCACAGAGGTTAGGGGGACACAGGCATCCAGTCTGTGGCCTCAGGATATATGGTGTCTGTCGTGACTGCTCAGCTCTTCAGCAGTGGCTCGGAAGTGGCCGTGGCTGATATGAACCAAATGCATGTGGTAGTCCAGTAAAACTATATTTATAAAAATACTGATTTCTAGCTGTTTTTATCTTTTTTTCCGGTTTTATATTCTCATCACTAAATTTAAAAGTGGATGCCCTTTAGAGAAATGAAGAAAACTCTTTTTATTGTTCCTAAGATGAATATTAGAACTTTGATTCAGTCATTCCTCAAATTACATGATTTATAAACTCTGCTCTCTAGAGTGTTGCTCTTGTGAATTATAGTTTTTTTATTTCAATATTTGACATATAGAGTTGAATAAGCACTAATAGACTTATGCTGTGCAGCGTATCCTGATTCTGATACTATATTTTCCTAATAATGACATCTTCTTTGGGTACATCCTATGACAAGTCTGTCCTATCACCTTAGCAAGTACTTGACAACATTATTTTAGATCCTTGCAACAACCTTAGGAAACTGGTATTTTTATTGTCTTTTAAACAGAAGAACTTAGACTCACAGTGTAAGTTATTTGCTCTGTGTCTCATCACTCACACTTGGCACACAATAGACAGTTGCCGCAGTACCTGTGCGTAAGGCAGAGAATGTCGGAAGATGCCCTCAAGGTGACAGCATTCAAGTCCTCATTGGATCAGAACCCTGCTAAGGTGTCAGAGTCCTGAGTGCTAGTGTCCAGTACTGATGAGCTTGCATTTCTGTCTCGGCATTCTTCTCTAATTGCTTTAGTTGATGATGCCCATATATGTTTTTAATAATTTTTTTGGCCTACCTGGATTTCTGACCCACTTGTTTTGATGTATATGGTGTCAATAGAATAGAAAGTCTTTATAAACAATGAAACTTTATATTACAGTACAAGTAAAGCTTAGCAATATAGTACGTTGAATTTGAAAAATCACTGGATACTCCTAACATGAATAAGAAAAGTTCCTGTGCGTGTAGACAGACATACACGTGTGTCTGTCCATCTTCCTGGAAAGCGGCTGCTCAGATGCACGCGCGCAGCATCCAGTGCGATGGCGCAGGACACGCAGCCCAGGTGCTGCTCACCTCAGTCTCAGCTGCCGTCTGCGCTCAGATGCACACGCGCAGCATCCAGTGCGATGGCGCAGGACACGCAGCCCAGGTGCTGCTCACCTCAGTCTCAGCTGCCGTCTGCGCTCAGATGCACGCGCGCAGCATCCAGTGCGATGGCGCAGGACACGCAGCCCAGGTGCTGCTCACCTCAGTCTCAGCTGCCGTCTGCGCTCAGATGCACGCGCGCAGCATCCAGTGCGATGGCGCAGGACACGCAGCCCAGGTGCTGCTCACCTCAGTCTCAGCTGCCGTCTGCGCTCAGATGCACGCGCGCAGCATCCAGTGCGATGGCGCAGGACACGCAGCCCAGGTGCTGCTCACCTCAGTCTCAGCTGCCGTCTGCGCTCAGATGCACGCGCGCAGCATCCAGTGCGATGGCGCAGGACACGCAGCCCAGGTGCTGCTCACCTCAGTCTCAGCTGCCGTCTGCGCTCAGATGCACGCGCGCAGCATCCAGTGCGATGGCGCAGGACACGCAGCCCAGGTGCTGCTCACCTCAGTCTCAGCCAGACACCGCCAGGGTGAGGGAGGCCTCTGGTGCAGGGCGCTGGATTGCACAGAGGTTCTGCAGGGATAAAGTAACTGCCTTACTGCATGATCAATTTGGCAATAATACATGCTTTTAATGTAGAATAGTAATTGTGGTTAATTGGAGTGAAGGACTCTATGAACTAATGGATACTCTAAAAAGGAAAGTTAAAGTACGTGCACAAAAAGTCCAAAGAACCCCCCAAACAGTTATCGTGTGATTGGTCCCAGTGTCGATCTCACAGCGATGGAGAGGGTTCTTCAACATAGACTTTAATACAACTGTTACATTGGATTGTATTATCAGACGCACAGGATGGTGGATGACCAATTCTGGGTCGCCAAAGTGTAAAGATAGTGTCACTGTAGAGGGTGGCATGTATTTCAGAAAGTTAAAATTTATATGATAGGTTTGAACTTAAATTCTAATTAATATAGTAAATGAAATTTAACTAAGAAAAGAAAAATCGGTCTCAAACCTGCAGCTGGGTTTGATTTACCTTGTGAGTACCAGCCTGGGTGTGCCCCCAGAGAATCAGCTGGTTGATGATCCATGGCTGGAAAGCTCATTTATCTCGTTCTTTGTCAGTTTGGGGAAATTACCTTGAACCCCAAGCAGTGATTCAAAAATCACCATCACCACAACTGTAGGAAGGTATAGAAACAAATACAGAAATAATAAAAAGCTGTGTCAAACCTGTGGTGTTGATGACATTTGAGAACATGTGGTTTTCACAGAGTGGGAGTCCAGTCAGGATCGGACTGTGTCTCTGTGATCTTTAAAACTCTAAGTTGGTAGGAGACCTGTAATAGAATTAATAATAAATACTAAAGGACAAAGTAAACTAGACCTTCAGCACGATATGTCTGCCAACATGACTTCAGTTATGAAAATGTAGGGATCTATCTTGGTTATTCTGAAAACTGAAAAAGTAATTGAGAAAATGCCCGTCTCCTAGTTTTCTGAGAATTTATTTTTGTATCTCATATACTAAGAAGTGAATTAGCTTTAATGGATCCCTCTTTGAAATTATGCAAAGCTATTTTTTATACAAATACTTTTTGAGAATTATAATAATTACAAAATATATCCTAAATTTTATTTGCTTAATATTAACATGATCACTCCATCTATAAATTATGGATAATTATATATATATTTTTTTAATTTTATTTTTAATTTTATTTTTTTACAGATGTTTCTCCTTTTTTACCCCATTGACACCCTCCTCCCCATCCTCCCTGCCCTGTCCCCGGCTTTGTTGTCCATGTCCATTGGTCATGCATACATCATATAAGTTCTGTGGTTTATCTCTTCCCATCCCCACCACCCCCTCTTCTGAGGGTTGTCAGTCTGTACCCTACTTCCACGTCTCTGGGTCTACCCTATTCCTCAGACTGTTATGTTCATTACACACTTAATGATTTGTAGCACAGTTAAGAATTGTTAGATTTTAGAATATGTCTTTTAAAGACAAAATTAGATTCTTTTTAATATATTGTAGATCTCAACAATACTATCTGATACATTATTTTATTAAATGTGCTATTAACGTCTCTTCATAGGTTTGGGTAAAATACTTCTCTTTATATATGATTCCTATCATTTAGTTACATGGCACAGAGGCCTCTGGGTGTGGAGTCTTGAAGTGCTCAGTTTTGTAAAGAATAATTAATTGATTTTTTAAATGTATAGTTTTAGTCTTTTTCTATTGAGCACAAATATTTTATAAGGTAGTATTCAACTTTAAATCTTTAAGTACCTCATAATAAAACCCTTTTCTCAAAATTATAGAATCTCAGAGGGTACAGTATGTTATTCAAACATTCCTTTTTTTTTTTTTTTTTTTTTATCCTCACCCGAGGACATTTTTCCATTTTTTGTTCAGGTAGAGTGGGAGGGGGAGAGAGGAAGAGAGAGAGAAACATGGATGTGAAAGGGACACATCGAGTGGCTGCCACCCGCACGACCAACCAGGGCCGGGGACAAACCGCAACCGAGGTACGTGCCCTTAGCAGGAACCGAACCCGGGTCTCTTGGGGCCGCAGGCCGACGCTCTAACCGCTGAGCCAAGCTGGCCAGGGCTATTCAAACATTCTTTTTACAGAAAAAGAAACTAAGAGTCAAAAAGCATTATTGCTTGTCCAAATGTAAAGGTGCAAGGTCTTCTGAATCAGGTCCCTGCAGTGCAGTTAGATGCGACGGGAGGGCCCCGTCTGCCATGGCAGGACATGTGCTCGCACGGAGCCCCAGGACACGGAGCCCCATCAAAGACGATGCGGAGACGGGCCGCGAGCCTGTCAGAGGGAAGCTCTGGTAGCTCTCGCTTGAGCCCAGATTCGTCTCTGTGACCCATGAACTCGGAAATAATTCCATTTATAAAATAAAATTTAAATGTCTAATACTAGGCTCCGGTCTGTCCTGTAAGTCGCATATTTATTTGGCCACCTCAATGCTTATCATCATTCTCACTCCCAGCCTGCTCTGATACGCTCGGCACCCTCACATGGAGCTATTGAACACAGAGCGGGGCAAGGTGAATTGGGAGGAGCCATAAGTGTTCAATATGCAGTGGATCTCATGTTTATATCTCACACAGTCAGAAAAAGATAAGTATCACATGAGCTCGTTTGTATGTGGAATCTAATGAACAAAATAAACTGATCAACAAAGTAGGTTCAGAGACATGGAAGCAGGGAGCAGACTCATGAACCTCAGAGGAAGGTGGGTGGGAGAGATCAACCACGGAACTTACGTGCACATATGCACAACCAGTGGACACAGACAACAGTGTGTGTGGGGGGGCGGGAGAGGTCAACCACGGAACTTACGTGCACATATGCACAACCAGTGGACACAGACAACAGTGTGGGAAGGGGGGTGGGAGAGGTCAACCACGGAACTTACGTGCACATATGCACAACCAGTGGACACAGACAACAGTGTGGGAAGGGGGGTGGGAGAGGTCAACCACGGAACTTACGTGCACATATGCACAACCAGTGGACACAGACAATAGTGTGTGTGTGTGGGGGGGGGCAGGAATGGGGCGGAGGGGCACTGGCGGGGAAAAAGAGGGGACTTCTGTAATACTGTCAACAATAAAAATAAGAATAAAACTCTTATATTTGAATATATTAATTTTCAAAGCACTTTCATATATAGAACCTTATTTAATCTTCCTAGCAATATTTTTAAGGTGGGTAACACAATTATTACTGTCATTGTTAAATGATCAAATAGGGACTTAGAAAGGATAACAGTATAAAACTGGGGGTTCTTTGAGATAAACTTTGTTTTCTGTGCAATGAGATTTCTTCTTTGGGGGATGAGAAAAGTTTGACTATTCACTATCATTGAAGATTATGGCCTAATCTTTTCCAAGCATGTCTGCAGTTACTTGGACTCTCTTGTAATCAGAAGTATCAGGATCGTGTCCACTGGACCATAGGTTTACATCAGGTCTTTTTGAGTAGATTGGTATGAAAAGTCCTTGTAAACATGTACCAAACAGTGATTGTTCTGTGGTATGTAGTTTGCAAAGGACTTTTTCCCCACATGTGTCAGTTCCACTTGGTAGTGGTGCATTTCTGGAATGCTCTGTTCAGAAAATTCCCAGGCACTGTTCAGTCTCAACAAAGGTGTGGGAGTGAGGGGAAGAGCATTATTTATGCCCTCTTTTTACTAAGTGTAGGTTAGTTTTCCTTTTAAGTCAATACCTTTTTATATATTATTTTTTTTTATCCTTACCTGAGAACATTTTTCTTTTTCTTTCGTTATTTTTAGAGAGAGAGGAAGGGAGAAGGAGAGAGAGATAGAAACACTGATGAGAGAGAACATCAATTGGTCTCCTCCTGCATGCCCCACTGGGGGTTTGGCCCACAACCTGGGCATGTGCCCTGACTGGGAATCGAACCGGCGACCTCTAGGTGCATGGGTTGATGCTCAATCACTGAGCCACACCGGCTGGGCTCCATTTTTGTTCAGATAGAGTGGGAGGGAGAGAGAGGAAGAGAGAGAGAGAGAGAGAAACATCCACATGAAAGGGACACACTGAGTGGCTGCCTCCCACATGACTCCAACTAGAGCTGGGGACGAATCACAACCAAGATATGGACTCATTGGTCCGTGGGTCCATGCTCTAACCACTGAGTAAAACTGGACAGGGCTCTTTCTTTCTCTTTTTTTAATCGTAACTGCCCTTTCACACTTTCTGTAACATAAGCTGTTTCCCATGTTATTACATTTTTTTGGGGGGTGGGGGGGATGGACATTATTTTTGATAGCTGCATAATATTCCATTTATAAAAATAATGGTTACCATTTATTTCTTTTAAAATGTATATTTATTGTTGAATGTATTACAGATGTTCCCCAGTTTTTCACCCATTGACACTTCCACCCTGCTCCAACCCCCCACCCCCTCCCCAGGCCTTCAACACACTATTGTCTGTCTGTGCCTGTGAGTTATGCATATATGTATATAAGCCTTTCGTTGATCTCTTCCTACCCCTCCCCTTTTCCCTCTGAGAATCTTTTAGTCTGTTCCCTATTTCCATGTCTCTGGATCTGTTTTGTTTGTCCGTTTATTTTGTTCCTTAGATTTCACATGTCTGCCATGCGTACATGTAAGTGACATCATGTGATCCTTGTCTTTCTCTGACTTATTTCACTTAGCATAATACTCTCCAGGTCCCTCCTTGCTGTCTTAAAGGTTAAGAGATCCTTCTTTTTACAGCTGCATAGTATTCCGCTACGTAAATGTACCACAGCTTTTTTATTTACTGATGGGCACTTGGGCTGTTTACGGATCTTAGCTATTGTAAATAGTGCTGCTATGAACATGGGGGTGCATATATTCTTTCTGATTGGTGTTTCAGGCTTCTTAGGGTGTATTCCTAGAAGTGGGATCACTGGGTCATATGTCAGTTCGAATTTTAATTTTTTGAGGAAATTCCATACTATTTTCCATAGTGGCTGCACCAGTCTGCATTCCCACCAGCAGTGTCAGTACTTTTTTGATATACGTTCCTAATACACTAAATAATTTCCTATCTTTTTTTTTCTTTTTAAAAAATGTCTGAGCAGAAAGGTAAGAAAAATGCGACTTTTAGATGTCAGTGTTTTTATCTGTTCAGAAGGGACCATCCGTGTCTCTTTTAAATTTACTTTCTTTACCCCCTTTTACAATATGCTGTGTACAACTAGGACTTCACCTCATTTTCATAGTTTCCCTGCAGTTTTTGTATCTCAGTATAGGGTGAATTATTTTTAAAGGTTCATTCAGAACTTAGCATATTAAGCAAAACAGGAAGTTAAATCACTAGTATAAAATACCTTTACTCAGTAAATAAATGAAAATAAATGTGGGGTGGGGGTGGGGGGAGAATCCTGTATTCACCAAGATTGTGGTAGTTCAAAAATTAGTATATGTTTTAGAATTGTCTTTCCTTTATTTGTTCAACTTTTGTCATTTTTTGTTGTTTGAAAGAAGTTTTTGAGACGTTCTTTAGTAATTACGAGCCACATGTTTTGTGAAGAATTTTTCTTTATTACTTTTCATTTTGAATTGAGACCCAAGTTTCAGACTTTGTTGTTTTTTTTTCTTTTTTACTTATTTTCTAAGTTTTCAAAATTAATGTTGACATTAAGTCAAATGTTTACAATTCACAGCATAAGTATATTATGGATCTATGCAAAAGTATTTCGAAAAGTAGAAATTTGTTCATTTCCTAATTAAGCTCTCCTATAGATACTGGTCTTAGTTTTGTCTTTATCTATAATAAAAAAAATGGAAGACTGGAGTTTTGTAGTATGTGGAATTCACTAGAAGACCCTTTAGAAGAGATATTTCTTTTGAGTTGAACAGAATTGACATTTACTTGAAATTCTTTGTATGCATATGTTTTGCAGTTATGTTTTAAGTTATTTTCTAAATGAATTTAAAATTCTTCATCTTTCAGATATTGACAGAGCAAGTATGTACTCAAGTTGTACACAAACCACACCCAGAGCCAGATTCTACAGTGAAAATTCAAAATCCAAGTGAGCAAACAGTAATTTTTTTTCTTGTATTGCAGTAGTAACATGGCACTTGTCGGACTAAATCAGAACTTTTTCTAGCCGCCTAAATTCATTATTTTGTTCATGTAGTTATAACACTTAAAAATCACTTGCCATGGTGCTAAGCCTTTAGTTGATAAATCAGTAGTTATTTTTTGAGTGGAATATATGATACAGTTATAAATCTAAATTATACCTTTTTTGTTCTTTTGTAGTGATTCTTAAGGTGGTGGCAACTTTGTTAAAAAACTCTACACCAAGCGCAGAACTGATGGAAGTTCGTCGTTTATTTTTATCTGACATGATAAAACTTTTCAGCAACAGCCGTGAAAATAGAAGGTAAGCCATTGAATACTATAGCAAAACTTTATTCCATAATTAATCTTACTTTTCTGTATTGTCAGTCTCTTTCATAGAAAATAATTTCAAATCTTTCTAATATTGCTAAATATTTTTAATCATTAGAGGGCATTGTGTGTTTCTTTGATATAATCTGCATTTATTATACTTCGGTTAATTTTATGTTTTTACTCATATGGGCATTATATTATAATGGAATATATGAATATATATGCACAAACCATCATCTAAAATTCACTGTTCCTTTGATGTTACCTCTCTATCACCAGTGGTAATTTAAGTTGTAATTGCGTTGGATTTGCTCATATTCATCTATACTTTTTCAGAATTTGTCTGATAACTGATTGTTGTCATGCATGACCTAGGACCTGGGTATATTCTGGAGCCACAGTTGCTGTCTGAATCATCAATTTAACAAATATTTATTGAGTGTCTGCTGCACAGGTTGTCTTACTATTCAGTCTTAGTACAGTTTAATGGGATGTAACAGTGAAGCAGTGGTTACTTTATAATGTATCAACTGCATTGTGAATGCCACATGTGACGAGGGAATAGAGAAATAATAACTAAATCTGACTGGGAAAGTTAGGCAAGCAATTTTAAATGATAATTGCATTGTCCAGGTAGTAACACAGTAGAATGCCATTCCAGGTACAGAATAGAGAACATGCAGAATGATTGCAACTTGGTTTACCTAGGTTCTGTTGTCATTATTTATCTAAGTTTCAAAATAGAAACAGAGTATCATTCAGGTATTTTTAATGAACATGTCTCTCCCACTAGATGTTTATTGCAGTGTTCAGTGTGGCAGGATTGGATGTTTTCCCTTGGCTATATCAATCCTAAACATTCTGAAGAACAGAAGATTACTGAGATGGTCTATAATATCTTCCGGATTTTGTTGTATCATGCAATAAAATATGAATGGGGAGGCTGGAGAGTCTGGGTGGATACACTGTCAATAGCCCATTCCAAGGTAACCTATTTTGCTGTTTTATCTCCAGGGCTTCCTGTGTGTTAATTCAAGGGCTGTAAACTCCCATTTGGTGCCCTCTAGTGGGCATCTTCCGCTATGGCCGAGCTCTTTCCCAGTGCTCTCCTGGCTGTCTCCCTTCTGTGACTACATGGTTAGATCTTGAAGAATTTTGTGTGTCATTTGAGCGAAACCTCAAGTTGATAAGTTAGGAGTTGTAGATCCAGAAGGTGACCCCACATATATAGCAGATCTGAGAACTTGAGTCTGAGCCAGTTGCCTTTTAAAAACTAAAACATACCTACTGATTCTTATAAGAATATTTTATGTAATAGACTCTGAAATATACTTTTTAAGGGTTTTAAAAAGTAGTCAGAAATTATTTTTGTTTCCAAGTGAATCATAAATATATTTAAAGTGTTTAATTTTAGTGGTATTTTATATTGCATTATCTTTTCTTTTTAATCCTAGAAATTTATATATTTATATTTTAAATATTATCTAATCTTTGATAGAAGGAGGACGTAGTTTGCCAAACATTGCTTTTGGGACCTGATTTCATCTTCTGTGAAATGAAGGGTTTTTGTATTGAGATAACCTCCACAGGAAGGTCCATCACAAACTTAAGTGTTGTTATCCTATGACTTAAATAGAAAGTACTATCATATGTGCCTCTAAGGAAAAATGTTGAACTTATTTTTAATTTTAGGAGAGCTTTTATTACTGTTAATGACTTAAATTTTATAATATTGGCACCTTTTATTACCTTAAAAATTTGAGAATAGTGTTCTGTAGGAAAAGACACTGCTTTTTTATTGTGACCGTATCACAGATGTCCCCCAACACCCCCTTGTCCCTCCACCCAAGACACTGCCTTTTTCACAGTGACAGTATCACAGATGTCCCTCAACACTCCCTTGCCCCTCCACCCGACGTTGCATTTTTTTAATGTAAGATATATGCACATATCTTTCTCCTAAACAACCCTATATAAACTAACAAAGTAGGCTGTGTAAAGATAAAATTTTGATGTTTTAACGGTTTATAAATGTGTGTATTTATAGATGTGTGTGGGTGTTATAAAAATCAGTTGTTGAGTCCAGCCAGTGTGGCTCAGTGGTTGAGCGTCGACCCTGCACCAAGAGGTCACTGGTTCAATTCCCGGTCAGGACACATGCCCAGGTTGTGGGCTTGATCCCCAGTGAGAGGCATGCAGGAGGCGGCCAATCGATGTTCTCTCTCATCGATGTTTTTGTCTCTCTCTCTCCCTCTCACTTCCTCTCTGTCTAAAATCAATAAAGGAAAAAATTTTTTAATAAGTCAGTGGTTGAAACGGGCGCACACATGATGCTGGATGGTGCCACCTGATGTGTAGGACTAGTACTTCGGGACCACACGTTAGCTACCTCGCTTCCGCTCACAACCCTCAGACACTAGCTGTTCAACTACCAGTAGGAAGGGTAACTTCCCTAATAGAAACGATCTGTTTAAAACTTTAATTTTGTTAGTTTATCTCACTGTGTGTCTTTAGACACGTAGAAAGTCATAAATAACTACTTTTAATATTTTAATTACTTGATGAAACGAAGCATTTGCCGAAGTATTAATTCCTGCTGTGTTTGCTATCTTAAAATTCCTGGCACAATCTTGATATTATTACCATAATTTTAGTTTTATCTTTTTTTCCTCTTGCTATATCTAAAATGCCTCGATATTTTCCCTCGTTGCTAAGGTCACTTACGAAGCGCACAAGGAATACCTGGCCAAGATGTACGAGGAGTATCAGAGACAGGAGGAGGAGAACATTAAAAAGGGAAAGAAGGGGAACGTGAGCACCATCTCTGGTCTTTCCTCTCAGACGACGGGGGCGAAGGGAGGGCTGGAGATCCGAGAGATCGAGGACCTCTCCCAAAGCCAGAGCCCAGAGAGCGAGACCGATTACCCCGTGAGCACGGACGCCAGGGACCTGCTCATGGCCACGAAGGTGGCGGACGGCATCCTGGGGGGCGCCGAGCGGCCGGGCAGCGGCGTGCACGTGGAGGTGCACGACCTCCTGGTGGACATCAAGGCGGAGAAGGTGGAAGCGACCGAGGTGAAGCTGGACGACATGGACCTGTCGCCCGAGACGCTGGGGGGCGGGGGCGGCGCGGCGCTGGTGGAGGTGGACGCCCTGCTGGACAACGTGTACAGCGCTGCGGTGGAGAAGCTGCAGGGCGGCGTGCGCGGCGGCGGGGGCGGCGGCGGGGCCAAGAAGAGCGAGGAGAAGGACAACGGCCCGCTGATCACCCTGGCGGACGAGAAGGACGATCTCCCCGACGCCGGCTCCTCGTTCCTCTTCGAGAAGATGCCCGAGCCGGAGGAGAAGCTCCTCCCCGAGCTCCCCACCAGTCACATCATCCCCAGCATGCAGGGCCCGCAGCTGCACCTGGGGGTGAGCGACGACCTGGGGCTGCTGGCGCACATGGCCGGCAGCGTGGACCTGGCCTGCTCGGGTGTCCTGCAGGACAAGGCGTTCAAGCTGCCGGCGGCCGCGGTGCGCGCGGCTGCGGAGGGAGAGCCGGCGCCCTGCCGCGGGGACTGCGACGCCCCCGACGCCGAGCCCTCGGGCGGCAAGGCGCCCAGCGTGGACGCGGGCAGTGTCATCTCCGACACGGAGCGCTCGGACGACGGCAAAGAGTCCGGGAAGGAAATCCGGAAAATCCAGACCACGACCACCACGCAAGTACGTTACCCCGCGTGGTTCCCAGGCGCACTGAGTGCGTGGGTGCCGCCCTGGTAGAGCCCCGCAGACCGCTGCTTGCCCGTTACCGTGCTGCTCTTTGACTAGGTGGGGTAGTAGTTTACGGAATTGAGGAGTATGGTAGGGCATGTCAAAGAAACTTAGAATCCCCGAATTCTGTTTCCAAGTCTAGCACATTCTGCCTGTGGAACTTGGCTCAGCCTCTGTGGGCCCGAACCTTCTGTACAGGACAGCAGATTGTGGCAGCTTAATGCAGCCTCCGAGGGCCCTCCCAGCTCTAACACTTTATGACTCTGGCTACTTTTCACATTTTGTATTCAAGATCGTCACTCTGAATAGGTCATTACTTTTAACCTTTGAGCTTCAGGCCCAACCCTGTTCTATGGATTATGGGAAGGAGGACTGGGAGCCCAGCTTGAACTGCTAAATGGAGTGAAGGGGGAGGGAAAGGGACTGTTATCTGTCAGGTGCCTACTGTGTTCCAGGCACTGTGCTCTGTTTCCGGGGGAGTCCTCACAGCAGCCCCCTGAGGCGGTAATGTGGCTCAGAACACTTGGAACTGTTGGCAGTGAGAATTATTTTTTTTTTTGCAACCGCTGGATAGGAATTTATTCTGAGAATCGTGAAGACGCTAAGGCAGGATGGTGAGGACGTGTTAGAGCTGCGGTTTTGGCCTCACCAGAGTAAAGCTAAACATGGATGATTTGTTCTGGATTTTAATTGTTGAGTTATGTTTTAAGACCACGGTCTTGCCCTGGCTGGTTTGGCTCAGCCGTTAGAGAGGCCTGGGTTCAGTTCCGACTAAAGGCATGTACCTCGGTTGCAGTTTGTCCCCATGCTGTTTGGCGTCGTGTGGGTGGCAGCCAGTTGATGTGTCTCTCACATCAATGTTCTCTCTCTGCCTCCCTCTCTCCCTCTCCCTCTGTCTGAAGATAAATGCAAAAATGTCCTCAGGTGAAGGGGAAAAAAAAAAGACCACGTTCTTATTTTCTAGGCTAAATAATGCCCTATAATTAAGAGTTGAGAACTTTTACCCTTAATGCTTTGTTTTTTTGTTTTTCTCTGAGTTCTCACTCACCTTTTAATGTCATCAAAAATAAATTTCACATATTCTGTTATAAAGAGTAAACCATATACCTAGCTGGTGGCTCTGTAGTCTAATAAGAATCCTTAATAATAGGTTCTGTGTGTGGGGAAAGTGTTTTTATTTGTTCTTGGTTAACGGCCAATTCCCATTTTTGTGGCTTGTACTAGAGTGATAATGGGCAGGGGATGGGGAGATTGAACTATAGGTACAGATTTAAAATAGAGAAAAGCAAGGTGCAGTCTTCATTGAACATAATAGTCACTAGGCGTGTCTGGTTTTCATTCTGAATGCAGTGACATTTTTCTGGTCTTCTAACTTACCAAATGCATCTGTTTTTCTAAATTGAAGTGTTGTGAGTGAAGTAGACTTTGAAGTTAACTTGAATTTGTTCAAGCAATATTTTTTTAATCTTGTGTTTTATTCATTATAATTAGTTGATGACATATATCCAGTGTACTTCACTTTGAGTATATGCTCACTTTCGTAAAGAAGAAATATGGTGTAATGTAAAGCTTCCAAAATGGGTACAGAGGATCTGGATTTCAATGTGAACATTGTTATTAAACTTAGGCATTTGATTTTCTTGCTCAGTTTCTGAAACTGCAAACTGAAAGTAGTAGGAAGAGCCTTTTTAGCTCTGAAAGGTCCCCGAGCTGGGGAATCACAGGGGAACACCGTATGTAAACACACTAGCCCACTTTCGTCATGAGCACTAAGTCAGTCATAGGTCATAGGTTCAAGTAAGTTATACTTACTGTTTCATTTTGAAATCAAGAATTTCTTTTGCCCTCTACAAAAGTCCACCTTTGACTTCCCCAGGCCGTGCAGGGGCGGTGCGTCTCACAGCACGACCGGGACCTCCGCGTGGACCTGGGCTTCCGGGGCATGCCGATGAGCGAGGAGCAGCGGCGTCAGTTCAGCCCGGGCCCGCGCACCACCATGTTCCGCATCCCCGAGTTCAAGTGGTCCCCCATGCACCAGCGGCTGCTCGCCGACCTGCTGTTCGCGCTGGAGACGGACGTGCACGTCTGGAGGAGGTGCGCTCGCCCTTGTCCCTGAATGAGACAGCTTTCACCATGAGCAGGAGCATTTCACGTTGCCAGCAGCAACTGGTTCATAAGCGAATTATATCATTGAATAAATCTCACAAATTAAATTTATTAAAATTATGAAACTGAAATTTTTTATAGTCATAAATATGTTTGTAAGAGTTATAAAGCCTGGACCGCACATCAAAAGGTGTCCAAGGACTTAGGCTTAAGTCAGTTAAAAAGCAAAATTCTGAAATCTGTCATTACCTGTTCTACATAGAATAGATTTCACAAAATTATATTCAGTTTTGATTCAAAGAAAACTGCCAAATTTATTCCTGTTAATAAGCTTATAACATATATGCACTGTTAAAATTTTAAATCATCCTATGCCGTCTATTTTTAGAGACCATGCCACTTAGGTAAGTGGGTATCAGTTCAAATATAATCACTTAATGAAAACAAGTCTACAAAAATCATTACCTTACCTCCCTTTAAATTTAATTTTCTAGTACCAAGTGTACAATAGATTAGTTAATTATTAATTAATAGCAAGTATACAACAAATTAAAGTTATTTAAATGAATAAAAATGCAGTGCGTATGTGCAGGCATACAGGTCAGGACTCGATGGCCCTCTGTGAGAGGCCACCTCAGCCCGTGAGGTCACGGCGCAGTATTCTCGGCTCAGTGGGCTTCTCTGCTTCAGATCTTTCTTCTACGTGCAGGCGGTTGCTTTAGATCCCAGCATCGATCAGTGATCAGTGCAGGGACCTCGCCCAAACCAGGGGCGCGGGGTGAGGAGCTCTCTTCATCTGCATCCCCTCCCTCCTTCCTCCCCACTCCCCCCTTCTCTTCTCTCCTCCTCCTTCACGGTTATTCTTTTTCTTCTTCCTCCTCTTCCTCCTCCTCCTCCTCCTTTTGTAAAAAAAAAAATTGAAGCCCCTCAAGAAATGTCCCCGTTATATCTCACATGCTGGCAAAATTAACTACGTGCTCTTCTCAAAGTTGATCACCAGCAAAAGGGAAGGGATTGTAACGACCGGCCTATACAGAGCAGTACTGGTCCGTCACCTAGCCGCTGGGGCCAACCTATCTTTGCTAGGCCTGGTCCAGTTCAGTAATAGAACTAAGTCTAGATTGTGTTAGCATGGAAGAAGGAATATGGATGTAGTCAAGGTCTGCCACAGTGTTTTCACTTCTGATGTTATTGATCACTGTGTCCTTAGTCTACTGATGTGTAGAAACAAAGGTCTTTTCATTGCTCATGTTGTTATATTAAATTACCTAGAGATGATAAGCAAGGAACCCGAATATCATGAAATACAATGCTGTTAACATGAATGTCAGTGTATGGAAATATATAGTGTAATTTTCTAATTACAATGTTAGTAGCTTCTAAGTGCGTGATAATTCAGTTTTCTTTTCTTTGACATATTGTGTATCTTTCCTTTCAAAGGCTCTCAAAAAATTTCCCAAACAGAATTTTATGTAATTTAAGGTTTTAAAAGATAGAACTTTGCATTTAGGATGGTAAAACATCTTGAGATATAAGATATAACACATGATATTTTACAATTCTAAAAAGTTGAGAATCATTGATTTAAATTTGATTATGGAGTAGTTTCTTTTTTTTCCCATTATAAAATTGTTCATATTCTTGACTGACACCAAACTAAAGCAGTGTATTTCTCTGAATATCTGCACTGCATGGTTTTTATGGGGAAGCTGCACCACCAACCTTTGAGATCTTTTCTCTTTTTATTCAATAAGTCCTTAATTTTTTTTCTGATTTTATACCCACTGACTGCGTCACTTCTGTGACTAACAGTTTGTGTTTTCAGTGTGGCTGGTCAGAGGTGGGGCTGCAGTCTGTTGAAGCAGCAGGCTGAGGCTGCCTAAGAGGCAGTAAGACGCTCCTCGCTGCCCAGTTCTGCTTGTCAGCACGGTAAACTTCTTAGCTGCATCCATCCATCCATTGACTCACATGTCTTTGAATCAAGCTGATACACTGTATTTCTTAAGGAGAATCAAGACTCAAGATTGATACACTTAGACACACAGTAACTGTAGAGATGAATGCTAAATGTTTGGTAATAAAGTATCTCAATTTTAAATTATAGTTTTCTAATAACTCCATTTTAAATTTGCCTCACTCTTTATTATTTGTCACCTAAAAATGTTTTAGATAAACTGTCTGAATTTCTTATTCTTAAGCCAAGGAAGTATTCATTTGTGTTTTGTCTTTCTGCTATTTTAGCCATTCCACAAAGTCTGTAATGGATTTTGTCAATAGCAATGAAAACATTATTTTTGTACATAACACGATTCACCTCATTTCCCAAATGGTAGACAACATCATCATTGCTTGTGGAGGAATTTTACCTTTGCTCTCTGCTGCTACGTCACCAACTGTAAGTACTTTGCCTCCATCTAGTGGTTTTATTGTATAATTACATGGCCCGTGCATGTCAGTGGTGCTCCATGTTGTCAACAGGTTTATAAAGCCTGGGCTAGCAGAAGGTTTCCACAATCTTCGTTTCTGTGAATAGAAGGATTTTAAAACATGTTCATCTGACAGAACTTTTAACCATATGAAGTTATTTTAATAAATGCATATTTATTTTTATTTGTCAGTGTTGGGTTCTACCTATGTATGTTTATGAAAATATTTCTCTGGCAATTCTGATAAATACTTCTTAGAAAGAGTCATAACTAGAAATGATTTGCTTTTCTACATATTGTTTATCCCTTCAAATGTATATTATAACAAACTGTTAAAATCTTGTTCTAAATGCAAGTTCATACTTACTGTATCCTAGTTACAGACATGAATATAAATTTAGAAAAAATCATTATTATAAATGCCATCTTATATGGTTCACTTGAAGCGGTATTTCTAAACTTAATACTATTCTAAAATACATCTAGGATGTTTACTGTCCTGTTCTCCGAGATTGATCTTGAAGCAGTTTGCTTCCAAAATAACCAAATTAATAAATTCTGAGAGTGTTTCTTACTTAAAACTTAGGCATGTAGGTAGAAAAGTACAAAATATACCATTTTTATGCTATCTTGAAAATGTCACAGTCATTGAAAACCTCAGAAAACTTTGTTACTCACATGGTCTTTAATAGCATTTTCGTCGAATTTTATTTGCTGGTTCAATATTTATTTTAGAAAATATAGCTTTTTCTCTATAAAAAATTGAAATGTATTAATGTAATAAGGTTGAAAGGCATTCAGTGTTAATTGTGTCATTTCAAATAGAGTAAGTCGATGCCAACTGTATATTTTAGTTGTTAGTTATCACTTTAAAAATGTCTCTGATCCGTATAAAAAAGTCTTGACTCCATAGCTGCCTGCTGAAAATGGGAAGAATTAGGGAAGGATGCTCCCCACATTACCTGTGTTCTGCTGCCATGTTGGAAACGCATCTAAGTCTGAACATTACACTTTTTCAGAGACAGCCCTGTTTTGTTAAGATGTCTTTGTGTTTTGAAGTGATCTCTGGCTTTATTGCATCATCAACAGGCTTTTACTACAGGGCCCTTTGTCATTGCTGCCACTTCCAAAGCAACTTAGCATCTTAAATATCAGCAACAAAAGATGGTATTCTCAAACCCTTTCTCTCAGGCACATGCTCCTGAGGTCACTCAGGACGCTGCAGAGACAGGTGGCCCAGGGGGCGGCAGAGCACACGGGGGCTCCGGGAGCCCTGGCCGACAGGCGAGCCAGGAGACCCGCGGGGGCGCCCAGACCAGGCCGCTGTCCCTGCTTTTCAGCTGCTTCCCTCTGGGGGTCTGTACCCAAGGCCAGCAAGTGGAGAATTGTGTTTGGATTTGTAAAGAAGGCATAATAGTATTGAGGCAGGGAGAATTGTTTTCTTTTTCTTTTATACGTTAAAAACTGAATAAAGCAATGTTTTCCTCCTGGCACGTCTTATTGTCATAAATTTTGTTTTATGTCTTATAAATTATCCTTTGTTGTCAAGAATTTTAAAAGTGGGCATTGGAATTCACTTTAGTGTATTGTTTTAAAATTTTTCAGAACAAAAAATTGGCTTTATATAAAGTTACTAGTTGGTGCTAAACTTTTCAGTGGTTTCAGATATTTACATTACTAAATAGTCTTCCAAATTTTAAACTAAAAGATCACTAGTAAGGTAGGGAAAATAAAAATTAATGAACTATATTACTGATAAACATTATGATGTATATGCTATTTCACTGCCCAAATTTGCTTATTTTTATTTTATAATGAATACACAATAAAAACTGACATTTTGAGGTTTGATTTCCAAATTTATTACCTGTTCAATTTTGACCAGTATAGTTTGAATTTGAAATTACTTAAAGCTTAAAATTCATTCGGTTGTAGAAACTTTTTTTCATTGTCTTACTTTGTTATTTTGGTCCATTAACTGATTGTACCTGTGCCTGGTTATACAGCATAGCTTATTTTATGTTCTTTGAATCAGTTGTTTCCTTAGGAGAACCAGCCAGCCTGTTTCTCCGTTTTACACTGGTAGAGCTGTGATGGGTGCCGATTGCCGAGTACTGTTTCCTTTTCGTGACTGTGTAATACTCTTGCTGAAAAGTATAATGTAGTAGAGGGGGAAAGTTAGGAAGGAGGAGATTAAATAAAGAGAAAATTAAAACTAAAGTAGGGAGCTGTTTGACTTAGATTTAAAATGTGTAATCAAGAGCACTCTTTGAAAGGAATAAGTGAAAAACGAAACATTGACAACATCAGATTTCCAAAGGGAAACAGTCTCATATAGATGCCATTGGAATTTTAAACCTAGATATATAAAGAGAATCAAAACATTTGAAACTAATGCTTGAGTGATCGGATCATTTTTCCTAGGTTTATGGAGTTTTTCAAAATATTCATGCATTCTATGCAGATATGTATTTAATGAAAAATTATGAGAAACGATGATGTTGTCCGTGATTGACAGACTTTTTCTATGTGGATCAGACAGTGAATATTTTCAGTTTTGTGGGCTGTATGGTCTCTGTCCCATCTACTCAGCTCTGCTTTTGTTTTACAAAACTAACCATAGACAGTTACATAAAGGAATGGGTGTATGTGTGTCTCAATAAAACTTTATTTATAAAACCAACCAGTGGGGCAGATTTGACCTGTGGGTCATAGTTTGTCATGATGTTCAAATAAAAACAAATGTCATAGTAATGTTTTAGTGTGAACATTTTATTACTTACTGACCATCGAAAATTCAGTAGTTAGAGCTTAAAGATAAATTCATTCTTTCCTATTAAACAAGAACTTAAATTTGGCTTACTGAACATTTATTAAAGTTCAATTTTTTAAAAGCAATTTTACTGAGTATATTGTGGTCATTACAGTCTACTACGAGATGTGTAACTTTTCACACCCAGGCATACTAGTTATTTTAGCATGTGACATGTCTGATGTTGAAATTGTACGTAATCTGGAGGGAGGGAGTGGAATGCTGAGTGTTCTGCATGGTCATCCACTTGAAAACACGACTCCAGTAAGTGTAGAACGTGACGCAGAGCTCAACATGGGACTGTCTTTCCCGACAGTCTCGAGGGTGGATCTCAGATCATTTACTTCTTAGTATTGGAAACAAACTTGTTTTCTGTTATCAGTGAGACTCAGACATGGTCTTGAAGATATGATTTAATAGACGGTATATGAGTTTTAGCATAAGATAAATCATGTGCAGGATATGACTTCAGCTGCAGCTTCTTCATTTAAGGAAAGGTGTTTATGACACTGATGCCACAGGGAGTTTGTTGGGAGCGTGTTAGGTTGTATGTGAAGTACTCTAGAGGGACTCTTACCGAGTGTTTCCTTCCTCTAGTTCCTCTTGCAACTATGTATTCAGAATCGTATCATGATGGAATAATGTTCCCACTTACGAAATAAGGCTCGGAATTCTAAAGTTTAAAATAGTATAAATTTAAGACAAATTTAGTTATTATGGGGTTTGATGGCAAAAGACTAAGATGGTATAATCTTTTTGTCTGCTGTTTCCATGGGACTGGCACAGTGTCGGTCTGATTTATGCCCTGGGACCTTACATGAATACAGTAATCTATGCTAAGGATAACATTTGGGTATTGCTTTTGCAGTATCATCATGTAAGAAAATGTGAGCTCTTTATATTAATCTTACTTGTAAGAAGATCTCTTATGAAAACTTTAAGGAGAGAGGAGTATAGTTATACAATATTTATATTACAGTGAACCACCTTGAGCTTAATATTTGTGGAAGAATAGAACTTTATTGGAGATTCAGTTTTGCCTTTATTATTTAAAATCATATGTGGCATAGAGTATAAATTACAAAAATAACTTAAAGTCTCTAAATAAGACCAGGGAGAAAATTTAGACCTCTTAGTATGTATGTTGACCAGTCTTTGTTTTGAGGAAGGAACATAATTTTTGTTGATTTTTTTGGAGTTAATGTTTCATGACTAGTTAGTTGAATCCTCTCATTTATTCTCTATACATTGTACAAGGTGGTCATAAATGAAAGCAGGAAATAGGAGAAAAAAACTAAGAGAAGCAAGGAACAAGGGTCAACTACAAATTGAAAATCACTTTATGATTTTAGGTTGACCATTTTGGTCAGCCATCCAGAACACCGAATGCTCAGAATTTAATTCACTGTCATCTATGGTTTTATTCTGGCTGTTACAGAAAAGTAATAGAATCTGGTATTTCTGGCTTTCCTGATAGTTTCAAAGGCATAAGAAAGAAGAACAACTTTTTCTGTTAAAAAATGATGACAAAGTCTTAATTTTATGTTTTCTTACCATTATAAGAATATTTAATTAATTTTTTTGTTTTAGCTCATAATACTGACTATACTTTAGTATTCTCAGGAAGCTTTTGTATGTTTTCCTATACAATGTACCATGTAAATAGTGTATTTTGAAATTTATGCTCACATATTTGTTCCAAAAATCAGAGAATAGGAACAGTTGATTATTTTTATTGTGAACTTAATACTATCTAAATTTTTTAATATATTGAGTATAATTCTTAAAAGATTGTAATTAGGTTAGTTCACATGCAGACCTCATTTAGTATATCAATAAATTCTTTTCTAGCAAGGAAAAGTAGTCTTTAAGTTATAATCACTCAAATAGTTTATTCTTTTATTAACTTCTGGGAGTTTTGATCTATAGGAAGGGCTTCAAATTATAACATAATTTCTTAAAGAATATTCTAGAAGTTTGGTATGAATACTTTAATTTCCTGATTCATTTCTGCCTAAACTAGTACAGAAACATTATACTAGTTTATTTATTAAATGATTTCTTAGTCATCTGTTGGAAAAAGATATTTATTTTATTAAATAGAATATGCACAATTTCTAATACATCAATTATGTTTACATATATGTTATCTGGGCAGAGTTATTCTAATGAAAAAATAAATTGAAGTCTAAGTATTTGATATTTGATCTTAATCATTGTAATTTATAAAATGAATACCTCTTCTGAGATTTTTGCTTTTAATAAAATACTCAAATATAATTTTTGAATATATTATTTTGTCTTTCAATTTTACATTGTATTTTTATTTAATTTTAATAATTTTTTTTCTTGTACTTTTTGGTCTGTTGTCTGTTTTGTCTAATGCATGTCCAGGGTTCTAAGGTTAGTATTACTTCAGTAATTTTCAGGTGTTTTGTTTTAAATTTTATTTTTACTAATTTATGAAATTTTTGACTTGGTTATATTTTGCGTTTCCATACCATCTTTAACATTAGGCATGTCTTAGGTGTATTTAAAAGATTGATTGAAAGGCTTTTTAAAAATTTCATTGATGAATTAGTATTTTATTATACAATAATCTTTAGACTAAAGTATTATAATACAGTGAATACAACGATATCACAGTCCAATGTACAATCAGATGTTAACTTGTTCCAATGAAAGGAAATTGGATGGAATATGTTAAATTAAACTAATAATGATCAAATGTGAATGCTCTTTATTTTTAAACCTGATATGATTTTTATATAACATTTCATCAAAATTATAAATTATTTTTATGTATAATGTAATAAGAACTCTCTTTTAGGTTATGGTTTGTGTTAAGAAGGCTTTTTATTTTAAAAAATGTTTGTTTAGTCAAAAATAACAGTTTGGCAAATTATATGAACAATTAATTTTGTTATAATTTCTATATGTAATTCACTCATTTAAAAATGAAAACACATTTTGAAGTTTACGTCTTGTTGATCCCAAAAGACTAGAAAATAAGACCATTGGCTAACAAAATGAGTTAGACTTCTAAATAAATTCAGAATGAAGAAGAATGTATTTGATGATATATCTATAGATATTCTAAAATTCTAATATCTTAGGCCCTGGCTGGGTTGCTCAGTTGGTTGGAGCATCGTCCTGATGTACCAAGGTTGTGGGTTCAATCCCTGGTCAGGGCACATACAAGAATCAGCCAATTAATGCATAAATAAGTGGAACAAAAATGGATGTTTCTGTCTCTCTCAAAACATCAATAAATAAAAAAAATGAATTATAATATCTTGAAAAATTATTTAGAATGTTTAATAGTCTAAGCAATCTTCATTAAAAAGCCTTCCCTTTTTAAATACAAACTTATATTAGTAACTGTGATTTAAAAGATATTTTTTATAGATGAATTTTTTTGCTTTTCATGATCTATTATATTGTGGTCACAGATTTTTAATTCATGCTGTAAAATAATACTGTATATCAATGAAATTCTAGGAAATAAGGAATTTTCATTTTGAAAATCCAAGTAATGAATTAATCATTTCTTAAGTCCACAGATACTGAATTGGCATAATGTTGTAAATCAACATTGAAAACACATTTTTGAATATTTTAAAGCTCATTGTAGAAAGAATGATTTTGCCACTATTTTGACGTTAAATGGAAAGAAGAAAGGTGGTTTATTCTCCATTTAGAATCAAGTTATATAGTGCTTGCAGTAGTCAACTATTATGTTTAATTCCCACTTGTACACAAGAAGTTTTAAAAAGTTACGTTAAAAAAAATCATTGTTTTCTGATGAGAACTTCCATAATAATGTGAGAAAGAATATGTTTAAGTGGAATGATGGGTATAACAATATCAGAATGAAGCAATAAATTGGAGCAGATAGCTATACAATGTACTCACCTTGTAGTTTAATTTAATCATTTGAAGAACTAAAGTTACTCAACGTGGCTAGTATGCTTATTTTGAAAAAATGTAAACAGTAGTTTTATTTATAAAGCATTCCTTACTTTACTCTGCTCTTGGAGACATTGAGAAAATGAGACCTAGTCATAATGAACCAAAACAACTAAAATGTTATGTGATAAACAATGAAAATTAAAATAAGAAGTATTGCTATTGCTTATAAAATCCAGTTATACATCTTAACGGAACACTTTGTAACATCGCCCTTGAAAGCAGGAAATTATATTTTATTGTAGACAATATTTTAGTGAAAGTGCAGCTTCACCAATCCACAATTTTACTGATTCTTCTTTTACCAGTGCTTATATTTGTAGAAGAATTAAGGACCTTCTTGATTATTTTTACCTTAGATTTTTACTGTATATTTGAGATACCTACTGGTTTTAGTTTTCCTGCAGTGGATAAGAAATTGTTATACATCTGATTTGACAGCTGTCTTATGTGGACGCCAAATATAGTGCCATGTATCTTCCCTACTACTACTCATACTTCACAGGAAAGGAATTTAGGAAAGAAATAGAAATTTTCTATTTCTTAACAAATAAAACTAGTATAAATATATGTGCCATTGTTTCTAAATATCTTTGCAAAATGATCTTCAGTTTGGAATGTAGTTTTTACAAGTAATGACCTTAAAATCTAACATAGATTTTAAAAATAGACTTCCTTCATTTAAGGATAATTCATAGGTAAACTAATTAAACTTGATAACCAGCTCTTATAATACATTGAGTTAGATTATAATTTATTTCGCTTACAGAATATACTAAATGTACTAAACTGCTCTTCACCTGTAACATGTATGTAGATGCATCACACTTCTGAATTTTAACACGTCTCAATCTCTTAAAGACGGAGCTGGAAAGCATCGAAGTGGCACAAGGCATGTCGGCCGAGACGGCGGCGACCTTCCTGGGCCGCCTGATGGCCATGGTCGACGTCCTCGTCTTCGCCAGCTCTCTGAACTTCAGTGAGATCGAGGCGGAGAAGAACATGTCCTCCGGGGGGCTGATGCGCCAGTGCCTGAGGCTCGGTGAGTGTGCTGGAGGGAAGGTGCGCCTCGGGCTCGCCTGCAGGCCAGTCTCCTGGCCCGGTGCACGGCGCACGGCGCACTGACGCCCGAGCTGAGACTGTCACCGAGGGACTGTTGCAGCGCGTTACCGAGACGGTAGCATCTGCACCGGGGATTTATCGAATAGATTCTAATTTGAAGTAGAATTAAATGTTATTTTGAATTATTTAAAAATAATAGGAGTGTAACATTTTTTATTGAGTGATTTTAATGTATATTCATTTATCGATTCTTTTTTGGTACACTAATACAGAGGGAGTTGCTCTGAGCTCACACACGTATCCGAATTCAGGACCTAGTTTCGTACACAACATGCTGAAGGGTCAGTGGACCGTGCCGGTCCCCCTGTTTCTCAGAGTGAGCTGCTGGTGCTGACAGACATCACTGCCTGGGCGCTCACCTGCTGTGCTGACACTCGGCACCAACAGGGCATTGTCCGTCAGCTACGATCGAGAAATGCAGAAAAATGTTTAATCTATGGATATTCGGGGAATGAAAAATAAAATAGGATGACATATGGCTACTTCCAAATATTAAAAAAAGAAAAGAAACAAACAGAAGGAAACTTAGCACTGACAACTCTCAGTCATTTAGACCAGCTGTCAGTGGGAACCGCCCTTACCGTCCACACCTTCTTCGGGGAAATTCGTGTGTACCACTGAGACCTCACAAAGAGCCAGAAAGCTGCTGTGTACACATTGGTCTGAGAGCATGAGCCGAATGTCAGAAAGCAAGACCTTAGGTAGGGAGGACATTCCTGGTGTGCACTCTTTGTACCCACCGAGGTAAAAGTCATGTAAAATTCTACATGTGTATCATTTCGGGGGAGAAGTTGTTTCTGATCTAAGGAAGAAATAAGAATTGCTTAACATGATTGTGATTGCCATTTCACAATGCGTTTATGTGTCAAGTATCTTGTACACTTTAAATACATATAATTTGTCAATTATAACTAAATTTTAAAAAGTATGATGGAATGAAACCTTTTTTGTTTTGTATTTTTTAAAGAGGGACAGGCTGAGAAGAATCATTTCATGTCTGTTATTACTATGGAGAGAGTGAGCACACACCAGAAATCTCTGTAAAGCGAGCGGTGTGGTGATGTAGCGTGGGCCGTCGCAGACCCGGCCACTCACATTTAACAGTAGTAAAGAGTGAACATTAGGAGAAAGTACCTTCAAACCAGCATTTATTTGGTTATTGTGAGTTTTTATTTCTGAATATATCCTGAGGCTTAAGTGCTGATTTGATTTTTATCCTAATAATTCCTAGCAGATTTGTTTTTTAGGCATAGGGATGTTTTATAAGTGAATAATAAGCAAACAATTATGTATCATTATGAGCTGTTTACTGTTCTGAGCACTTCACATACGTTAATTCAGTTACTCCTTACAAGGACTCTCTGAGGAAGCATGCTTATACCCATTTACACACCAGGAAAATAGGGCACAGATAGTTTAATGAGCTGGCCCGAGAGAACACAGGTCAGAAGCAGCAGAGCCGGGACTCAGGCTCCGGTGGTTGATTCTGGAATCGGTGCTGTTTATTGTGTAAGCCCCTGCTTCTTAAAGCAAGTGAGTAAAGAGAGAGCTCCTGTTTGTTGGATGTTTATTGAGAAAGGCCACCACCACGAGGAAAGGTGGATGCTGGGACTGGTGCGTCACCAAGGTAGTCAGCTTATGGGGGAAGTATGATTATGCAAAGAATTGATGAAATATGAATATTAAATTTTTTAAAATGTTTATTGATTCATAAAATTCAGAATTTTGAGTGATGGAGAGTGAGACTGTAGAAGAGTGTATTGGGAGCTTCGAAGGCCCTGGTAGCACTCTGTTTCTTTAGCCAGTTGGTAGCACATGGGGTTTTGTTTAACAGTTTTAACTACACCTATGTTTTATATGCACTTTTCATTCCTATTTTTCATAATTGTAAAAAATATGTATTGATCTTGTTGCTTTAAGAAGAATAAGGGGATGGGAGAATGGGAAGGAAGAAAACAGAAGCCAGCAAGGTGTCCGGCGCGGAGTGCGCACCGCGGTAACCGAGCTTTGCTTCCCACAGTGTGCTGCGTGGCCGTGCGGAGCTGCCTGCAGTGCCGGCAGAGGCAGCGGGACCGGGCGGCCAGGGCGGCCCCCGGCAGCGGCAGCGGCAGCGGCAGCAGCAAGCAGGACGCGCCCCCGGGGCTGGCCGCCGCCGCCTCCAAGGTGACCCGCGCTCCCCGTTGCCCTAGCTGACCTTGCCGCCCTTTGCTTGGCCGGGGGTGTGCCCAGTGAAGCGGGTGGGGAGCAGACACCGGGCTGGGCCCCCCCCCCCCCCGGGCCCTGGGGCCCTGGAGCTGCTAACTGGACCGTCCTGGCCCTGACCCTGACCCGGTTATAGCACACAGCTCTGAGGCCCTCAGTCATAGCTATTTCTAACCCTGACATTTTCAGAATTCAACGTGTGTTAGTGAATGAAATGAATGAATAATCATATAAAGATGGCAGAAGTGAATAATGTTCTTTTCAAAGGGATGTGGTTTTGGTGGCAGGCACTGTCACATGTTTCAGTGGCCTGCAGCTCGCCCCTTACCCTGCTGTACCATTCCAGCCCCGCTGCAGACTGCGCTCATTTCTGCAGAGGACCTTCTTTACTCACCCTCACATGGCTCCCTGTCCTGAGGTCTGCAGCCTGTCCTCTCCCACCGAGACTGTTCAGGTCTTGGCTGTAGCTAAGGGCTACTCCGAGGAAGAGGCTTTGAGATGCCCTCACTGCCGCCCTGGTCTAGGACACACGTTTGTTTGATATTCTCATGAAACGCTGTATGTCTCTCATTACTCACTACACTTGTAATTAGACGTCTGAGTGACACATATTTTTTTTTTGCTCAATAAGTGAAGGCATGAAATAGAAGTTTAATTCATGTAAAAAGTTCTCTGTTTTCAGCTCAGCCGGTGTGGCTCAGTGACTGAGCATTGCCCCATGGACTGAGAGGCCCAGGTTCGATTCCCGTCAGGGCACATGCTGGGATTGTGGCTTGGTCCCCAGTGGGGGGCGTGCAGGAGGCAATTCATGGAAGTTTTGCTCTCACGTCAATGTTTCTCTCTCTCTCTCTCTCTCTCTCTCCCCCTCCCGCTTTCTTTAAAAAAAATCAGTAAAAACACATAAAAAAAAATTCTATGGCTTCAAACTTCTGCAGTTTTTTAATCAGAACAACCGCATATTTAGTGTATCTGTACCGCAGCATCTTTCTCACTGAATTGAGAGAGCATGTCCAGAGGAATTAGACCATGACTTTCCAGCTCCCACTCCACCCAGCTCTCCCCTGCTGAGAAAATTAGATACAAATGCGCAGCAGTCATGCCCCACGCCATCTGTGTGGGCGGAGGGAGTCACCGTAGGTCACAGAGCACCTTTGTAACCCCAGAGCTTCTAGAGCGCCGTTAGTTCTCCACCAAAAGCACAAACTCTGGAGTCCGACAGTTCTGAGTCTGTATCCTAGCTCTACCACTTGGTGGTTTTGTGACAACACATTTCTTAATCTCTTGTGCCTGTTTTCCGGTCTTTAAAAGTGGATTAAATCTGACTTAAATAAACAACAGTAATGTAATAAAGTACTTAATTCCTGACCTACAGTGACAATTCAGTTAATACTAATTCCCTTCCTCTTTCTAGCAGTTAACCACTCATTGTATGAACTCATGAAATGAATAAATATGATAGTATTTTTTGAGACCTTTAATCTTAAAGGTGTCTGTCCTTAATTCAGGAGGCAATAGGGAACTTTTCAAGAGTCTCAAGCCAAGCATTGTTCTGATTGTAGAATATGTACAGAAAAGCCCAATTAGAAGGAACTTTATAGTATTATAGTTGAGGTAATCTGTGTCTCTAGCAAGAACCTTGGCAATGAAAATTGGATAATAAGTGATGAATACAGAAATATTAGGGAAAAGGTTGACTTAGTAAGATAACACATTTCAGGACAGAGAATCAATAGACCTGGTTGGTAAGTGTTTTTGTGTTTTTCTTTTTTATCCCTGTTTTTATGCATTTTTTTATGTGCCTCCATATAAGTAAATCATAGTTAATTAGGAGGTGGTACTGACCTATGTAGGTTTCCATGAGTCACACATCTTCATTGGGTCTCATTTTTTACATTTTCTAAAAAGGAATGATGATACAAACTTTTTTAATAAAAATTTCTTTCTAAGGATAAATTACATTATGGATACAGAAACACTTTGTAAAATAGTATATACATTAAAAATAAAAATTTTTATTTATGCTATAAATTATGTACTTTTTATCTATGCTGTCAATGTGTTCTTTTCTTTAATTGTCCTCTGATACACATTGTTAGCCTATTAGTTAGATAACGTCACTGAGGTCTATAGAGGTTATGTTGCTGGTAAGGTGTGGAATTGAGTGGAGACCAGAGACCTGCCAGCCTGCAGACACGGTGCTCCTCCCCCCGCAGCAGTGGGGTCGGGCAGCTTCGTTTCCAGACTGAAATAGATACTTGAGGTCTGTAGAGAATTAGAAGAAGGCCTATTTATTTTGAGTTAGAGTAACAGCAATTTATTTTATTTACAGGGATTATCTTTTATACATCAGATATATTATCTAATTTAACTCATTCAGTTAAATATTTGTATTGATTTAAGAGAGCAAAGAGGAGGGGAAGGAGAGAGGGAGGGGGGAGAGAGGAAGGGAGAAAGAGGGGAGACGCATCTGTCTGTTGTTCCACTCGTGTGTGCCTCATTGCTCGCTTGTGTGTGCCCTGATTGAGCTCCGCCACCTTGGTGTGTCAGGATTACTCTCTAATCACCTGAGCTATCAGGCCAGGGCTAATTCGTGCAATTCTTAACATGTTGTGTAAGTGGAAAAGTACTAAGTTGAGTTTCAGGGAAATTGACTCTGTTATTAGGTTGCTATGTGACACATTACAATAAATTTGCCAATTTTTGTATCTTCAGCTGTAAAAAGAATTTCAATGGTAATGATCTTAAATGTCTTTCAGCTCTAATATTAAGGCTATGTTAGTATATTTTAAAGTTTATCTTTTCTAACTTTTTGTAGCTCATGAAATGCTTACACATATAGAATCTCATATAATAATGTAATATAATAATCTCACATTATAAAATGCACGATGGCTAAAGAAACCCAGTACCTCAGATTCATTAACGAGACGGAATCGAGGCTCAGAGAATTTCAGTGATGGGCCCAAGGTCACACAGCGGAGATTAGAAGTCCAAAATCAGTCTTTTTTCTACCACAATCTTACCTACTTTTTGCTAAGTCTATATTGGTAGCTTTGGTAATAAAAAACAAGAGCACTAGTAAAGGAAATTGACGAGATATAGGAGAACAGAAAAAGTGTCTTATAATAGAGTGTTGCTGTCATTAAATGTTATCCAGTGATGGGGAGATAAAGAACATGGGCAACTTATTAGAAATTACATTACTATATAAGTTTCTATTTTATGCTATTTTTTTTTCAACTTTCTATCTTGTTTTAGAATTCACTAGAAAATGTTCCAGGTAACCTTTCTCCTATCAAGGACCCTGACAGACTTCTCCAGGATGTTGATATCAATCGCCTCCGTGCTGTTGTCTTTCGGGACGTGGTGAGTTGTGCCTGCTTGATTTCCCGGGAAAAGAACTTACACTGTCATTTGTATAAAGTAGTTTAGATTTTAGAAGAAAGGTGGTATTAAAACTAAACACCCCAATGCTAGGACTTGCGGGGTTTATAACATACTTCTGTTTATAAAATGGTTGAGCCTTAGCTTTCTCTGAAAGCTTATTGATGTTGTTTTTTTAAATATGTGAAATTTTGATGTAAGTTGTATATATACTAAGAAAAATGGCAGGTGGTTTTATCTTGAATCACCTCCTCCTTCAGTGTAGTGTCCCTGCTCCCTGTGTAGGTGCTGGGTAGTTGTCAGCCACGCGCCTAGTATGGCGGATGAGCGGGATCACTTCATCATGGTGTTATGGCAGTTACTTCTTTGGGGGGAGCAATTACTTTAGAAAGAATTTGCATTTAAAAAGTATAGATATCTGTGGGAAATTGAGTTAGAAAAGTAGCTTAATAGAGCTCAAGGAAAAGATAGCTTAAGTAGACAGTTGCATGGTATACTTCAATTATATCATCACTTACGGTAAGTAAGAATAAAATTGACCTTTGCACATATTGTGTAGAAACCTATATAGTACTTCAGAGCAGATTCAATACTGACAGTACTGCTTATTATAGTTATTATTAGTAGTATTATTTAAAAGTGTATTGATTTTTACAGAGAGAGTAGGGGAGAGGGAGAGAGAGAAACATCAATGAGAGAGAATATCAATCAGCTTGCCTCCTGCATGCCCCCACTGGGGATCGGGCCCACAACCTGGGCATACGCCCTGACAGGAATCGAACTGATGACCTCTTGGTGCATGGGTCAATGCTCAACCACTGAGCCACGCAGGCCAGGCTATAGTTATTTATCAGCCCTGTTGGATTCTATTTTTCTTTCCTTTCTATTTTTTATTAATTTTTTTTCATTGCAGTTTACATTTAATATTATTTTGTATTAGTTTCAGGTGTACAGCATTATTTCAGTTAATGGTTTATGAAACATTAGAAGAAAGTATATGTTTTAAATTTACACTTAATAAATTGGGTGGAGTACTTTAGAAAATGGTTGAAGTATATTTAAGTCATATAGTGTAATACTACATGATAGGAATATACAGTAGAAAAATCATCACTGTAATATGTCTCAGTTCTTATAAATCACTGAGAAAATTATAAATATACCAGTATAGAAATAGGCAGTGGACATAAAATATGAGAGATAAGGTAATAAACATGTCATGAAAATGTATTATCACCAGTAGTCAAAAGAATGCAAATTAAAACAAAAGTGAGATGTTTTTACTATTAAATAAACTAAAATGTAAAATTAATAATACCAGCATTGTAAGGGTACATTGAAATATGCTATCATCTCTCTCTCTCTCTCTCTCTCTCTCTCTCTCTCTCCCTCTCCCTCTCTATTTCCCTCCCCCCCCTCCCTCCTTCCCTCTCTCTGGTAGGAATAGACATTGGATAACCTTTTTGAATAGCTGTTAACCAATATGTGTTAAAACTCTTATAAATATCAATGCTGTGTGATCCAGTGGTCTTACTCAGAAGTTATTTCACCCCATGTGCTCATCAGAGATTCCTACAGGAAATTTGGCAAGATTATAAATATCTAACAATAGAGTTTCAGCCCAATAAATCATAGCATATTCATTCAGCAGGAATCTATGCAACCATTAAAATGGCACTTTTGAGGGAAATTTAGTGACATGGAAAAACGCTTATGGTATATTTGAAGGGAAGCAGCAGTATGCAGACGTACTTGCATTGCACATACTGCATTTGTGTGTGGAGTGTGTGTGCAGACACATCTCAATTTAAAGAGAAGACTAGAAAACAGTGAAATACTAGCAATGCTTATCAGTAGGCAAACAGCTTTTATTTTGTGCTTCATTCTTTATGCTTTTTTGCATTTTCAAATTTGCTATGATAAATCCCTATTGCTTTATACTGCATATATAATTAATAAATGATAAAGGAATTTTTAAAAAATTGAAGATAAAACACATGATATAAAAACTATGATGTGAGAATCTTGCCATAATTTGATTTATAATCTAAACATGGAAAAAAAAAATCTCTTACTAACGATTTGACCATTTAGAAGTGGAAATTACTCATCTTGAAAAAAAATATTTAATGGAAAGAATGCTTTTTAAAATGAAGAATGATTAAAACATGGAGCATATCTTTATATCCAAGTGGCACAGTCAGACATAAAAAGTGTGACATCATGTTTAAATAGTAAATTCTGCTTTAGGTTATTACGGTAGATTATGATAATTTTTCTAAGAATTATAGATGTTTTATAAATATGTTGGATAACCGATAACCAATCAGTGGTGCTTAGCTTTATTCCTGCAGGATGGGAATTAAGTGTTCCCAGGTGGGTCTTACAGGATCGTAACTTGTGTTCTCTGAGTTTATAATGCGTATCCCGCAATTGAAATATATTATCCTAAGCAGTTAAGACTCAGAAAGATTAAAATCATGCAGCTAGTATGAGGTATAGTTAGAATCCCAAGGTAGATCTTTCCAAAGTGTCCTTTTTTATCACCATATTTCATAGATTCTAAGGCACTTTTTTTCTGACTTATAAATAATCTGTGAAATTTGAAAATGTTTTACAAATGATACATTAATTATATTATAATATAGATACTATACTAAGAATTCTACTTGACTTTTGACATTTTTATGAATCAATAGTCATTTTATTTGCCTTAATCTCAAAAACAAATTAGATAAAAAATTAAGTTTTTAAAAGTCTGTGTACATTTTATATATCATATATATAGCTCAGATAACTAAGTGAAAGAATATAACCTTGGATTGGAAAACTTTCATTTTTTTCCATTGTCTTTGTCAGCCGTTTTACTGTTTTTTTGTTTGTTATTTTTTCTTTATTGTTTAGAGAACGAGGAAGGGAGGGGGAGAGAGGGATAGAAACATCGATGAGAGAGAAAGAACATTGATCGTGCCCAGCTAGTGTGGCTTAGTGGTTGAGTGTCAACCCATGAACTAAGAGGTCGCCGGTTGATTCCCAGTCAGGGCACATTGATGTTCTCTCTCATCAGTGTTTCTATCTCTCTCTCCCTCTCCCTTCCTCTCTCTCTCAAATTAATAAAGGAAAAAAAGAAAAAGAACATTGATTGGCCACCTCCTGCATGCCCCCCAGTAGGGATTTGGCCCACAACCTGGGCATGTGCCCTGACCAGGAATCAAACAGGCAGTCTCTTGGTGCATGGGTTGATGCTCAATCACTGAGCCACACCAGCCGGACCAGCTATTTTATTTTTTAAGTATATAATTTTCTTAGTAAGACCATTCCTTCTCTCTCTCTCCCTCTTTCCCCACCCCTCTCCCTCTCTCAAATTTAGAGATTAAGGATTTTCATGTTTTTCAAGGATTTCTAAGTTTGGATGACTGTGAAGGAAGTGAACACTAGCTATAGTGGCGGGAGGAAAATATGATAACATGTAAAGAATAAATTCCTTTCTTGTTCACATTTGTTTTCAATGATGAAGACATTGCTGACTTTTTTAAATTTTAATTTTCATTACTGACACCATTGCAGTTATCCCCAATTTTCACTCCTTTGCCTACCTTTACCTAGCCCCGAACTGCCCCACCTCCCTCTTGGTCCGCACCACACTGTTGTCAGGGTCCATGGGTAAGCCCTTCACCTTCCTTTATCTAGTCTCCCCACCCACTCCCCTCTGACATTTGTCAGTCTGTTCCTATAGCCGTGCTTCTGATTCTATCTTGTGCATCAGTCTCTTTTGTTCAGTAGATTTCAAATATAAGTGTGATCATATGGTATTTTTCTTTCTCTGACTGACTTATTTTGTTCAGCATAATAATCTCTAGGTTCATCCAAGCTATCTCAAAGAGTAAGAGTTCTTCCCTTTTAAGCTGTGTTGTATTCCATTGTGTACATGTACCACAGGCTTTTTATCCACTCATCTACTGATGCGCACTTGGACTGTTTCCAGATCTTAGCAATTGTAAATAACACTGCTATGAACATAGGGGTGCATTTATGTTTTCTGATTGGTGTTTCCAGATTCTTAGGATATATCCCCAGAAGTGGGATCGCTGGGTCAAAAGGGAGTTCGGTTTTTAAATTTTTGAGTAAACTCCATACTGTTTCCACAGTGGCTGCACTAGTCTGCATTTCCGCAGCAGTGCACTAGGGCTCCCTTTTCTCCACACCTTTTCTAGCACTTGTTTGTTGATTTGTTGATGGAAGCCATTCTAGCAGGTGTGACGTGGTACCTCATTGACATTTTAATTTTCATCTCTCTCTGATGATTAGTGACGTTGAGCATTTTTTCATATGTCTATTGGCCATCTGTATATCTTCTTTGGATACGTGTCTATTCAGGTCCTTTGCCCATTTTTTAATAGGATTGTTTGTCTTCCTGGTGTTGAGTTGTATAAGTTTTTTCTATATTTCGGCTTTTAAACCCTTATCAGATGAATCATTGGTGAATATGCTCTTCCATAGGATGGGTTCCTTTTTTGTTTTGTTGAAAATTTCTTTTGCCATGCAGAAGCTTTTTAATTTGATGTAGTTGCAGCTAATTTCTTCCTGTGTTTCCCTTGCTCTCCGAGATCTATTGGCAAAAATATTGCTCTGAGAGTTGTCTGAGATTTTACTGCCAGTGTTCTAGGGTTTTTATGGTTTTATGACTTATATTTAAGTCTTTTATTTATTTTTATTTTATTCTCATGTGTGATGTAAGTTGGTGGTCTAGTTTCATTTTTTGCATGTACCTGTTCAGTTTTCCCAGCACCATTTATCATAAAAACTGCGTTGGGCCCATTGTATGCTCTTGCTTCCTTTGCTGAATACTAATTGATCTGGAAGGCATTTCTGGGCTTTCTGTTTTGTTCCATTGATCTGTGTGCTTGTTCTTGTACCAGTACCATGTGGTTTTGATTACAGTAGCTTTGTAGTTAAGTTTGATATCTAATATTGTGATCCCT